TGAAGTATTTTTGATCGCTAGAGCAGCATATTATCAGGAAGTGTTGCTTCCCAGAAAATATTGTATAGATTACGATGAATTTGATTGGCCTTTCAAATTTTTTTTTGAGTTTATCCGCCACGATGCTATTTGAAAGTCCTTATAAAATGTCAATGGATATTTTTCCAGGTCTCCATACGGTTTTATTGTAATGAACTTTAGTCTTGTTAAAAAAATCTCATGAGAAAAAAAATCTTGTTTGGAACAAAAACCTATCTTTGTGGGAAAACCAGAATTTATTTTTCAAGGATCCATAAAGCATTTTACAGTGAGACCCCCACATGCAGACGCCTCGACATGGGGACAATTTGACCTGGGGACATTTATTTTTTAGGAAAAAAATCATAAAAAAGACCCGGCATGAGGACATTGACTCGACCTGGGGACATTGCAGGATAAAATTTCAAAATAAATTTTAGGAAAATTGATTTTTATAAGGCTTAATTGCAAGAAACACATATTTCCAACCTAAGATCTATGCAAGAAAAATTCTTTGGTACTTTCCCATCCATTCAGCTAATTTAAACTTGCAATTAAGCCTTATAAAAATCAATTTTCCTAAAATTTATTTTGAAATTTTATCCTGCAATGTCCCCAGGTCGAGTCAATGTCCTCATGCCGGGTCTTTTTTATGATTTTTTTCCTAAAAAATACTGTGGAAGATTAAATCATTAGCATGAATACAGTAGAATTCCTTAACAACAAATCTTGTTATAACAAATTTTTCATTATAACAAATTTGTTTTCTTGTTCAGGCAGTTTCCCTTAGGCATAATGTTATAAAAATCTCATTAAAATGAACAAATTTTAGGCTTTACTCTCATTATAACAAATATTTGTCCGTCATTCTTTATTGATACAATAGCAGAGTTTGTTTAATATGTATGACGAACAAAAAAAATTCAAAGGTGCAGCATTCTAACTTAATCAAAAAAAGAAAAATGTATGCCAAGGAATCTTCATGTTCAAGAAATACTAAACATGATGTATTTCTCAGAAATGCAGTAACTGTGTTGGAAAACATAAATTTCAATGCTTCAATAGGAGAACTTTGAAACCCATTAAGTACTCATGTACATCAGAAAGTATTGCATCCCTTTCGCATAAAAAAAAACTCTTTTCTGTACGAATGATCATTTATTCATCCTTCCTTCGAAAGGTTTTACGATCAACTGGTTCTTGTTAATTAATTAGGATTACACAGGGTATCGTCCGGCAGTAGTGATTAAATGTAGACTATTAAATCCTTTGGCCCACATTTGATTCAATCTCAGTGATCATTAACATTTTGTTGGGGACTGAGATGCCGGCTGGTAAATATACTAAATAGTTCTATAAATAAACCACCCTGTTTCTCATAAACCAGTGCTGGGCTTCAGGAGTCTCACAGCATTAAAGAGAACTTGCCCCAGAAATCCTTGGAAACTTGTAGACCATGTTGCACATCTCTTCAATTTCAACATGAATAGCCTATCATAAAGCAGCCCAGAATCCCACCGAAGTTAAAGTTGTACTTATCGGATAGTATTTCGTCGGGTCTTAGGGTGGGAAGTTGTTCTTGTTATTCAAGTTCTGTTGGGTAGGAGTTACTACGTGTTTTCGGAGTTTTTGAACTTTAACTATGGACATTTACATTCTTAGCTTCCACTGCTAAATATCCAACCAATATGCCCCTTAGAAATTGTGTGAATCATTGTGTGTGTGTTTGGGTATATATCATGAAGAAGCCAAGTATTTTATTCTTTTGGGACTTGAATAAATACAAATTTCTTTGAGACTGTATGAAGTGGCTCCCAGCCATAGTCCCAGGCTGATTGTGGTGTTTTACCTGTAAATATCTTTGTTTCTGGAAATCCCTGACACATATCATGAGCTGCAAACACAATTTTTAACGAGAAAAAAACGGTTAAATAATGTACAAATCAAGTGCTGGAGATTCCATGAATTTACTGTACTGTAACAGTTTATAATAATTTAGGAAATATGAGAATGTACTGTACATGGATTCTATGAAACTGTCATGATGCAATTCCCTGAATAACAAGCTTCATTATACACAGTACAGGTTTAGAACAAAAAATACATCAATAATAAGGAAATAAATTCCAAAGCGGTTCGTTATATCCTAAGGTATAATTTTGCATTTTCTTATTTTCAGTTCCGCTTTCTCATTCAGGATTAATCATCAAGGATAATACACGCGAATCTTCAGTCGAATTCTTCAAGAATTTTTTTGCGAGAATTCTTCATAAAATGTGCGGATTAAGGATTTTTACTGACTCAAAAGAATTGTCATGTAAAAATTGAAGAAATTTCATATAAACCAAATTGAATATAGGCTGGAAACCATGCAACTGTATTAAACAAAATCTTAATCCATGGCATGTTGAATTCCTTTTTAGAGTTTATACTGTATAAGCAAATGGTGTATTTTCTTGAAGGAATTACGAACACATAGAAATGTAATTAAATACCCTGGGACATTAAATAAACTGAAGTTAAAGATATACAGCACAGTATCCGAAATTCGGTCGAACTATGGTTGGCTGATCCGAAATAATATATGTCAAACTATTTTTCAATCCGTTCATCGAACTCGACTTATTGATCGTCAGTTAGTTCGTTATGGAGCGAACCTTCCGTGAAAACAGATAGTGACATCTACCTCATCACAAAAAAACGTTCAAAGCAGCAACAACATTTCACTCTGCAGAGGGTATGATGATCGAGCCACGCGTGCATCCATGTACTGAATTTGTTGAGGTCGTCAGATAGCAATTCTTTCATTTGCATAGAAAAACCGCATGATGATTAGCAAGATGGCACATCCAAATAATTGTCAAGAATCAATTATGAAAAAGCCAGCAAGTAAATCACCTTATTCATAGGTCCTCAGATAATGTCGTTGCTAAAACATAAACATCTTCTGAAGGTGTGCCAGTGACGCCATAGTGTCGCATTCCATAAAAAAAAAAACGGCGAATGAATATTCATGCGTGTTATCTTGATGCATTGTAATTTTATCAAGTTTTATCAAATTGTTTTGCTGCATTTTCTGTCGATCGAATTACTAATCAATATCAATCAACAATTTCCGTCCTGTTCGTGATTAAATTTAATCACCTTCTACAGTATTGTCAAGAAAAAGTACAATGCATCAAGTTCGCCTAAAGAGATGAATTTTCGAGGATTTGAAAGCTGAAATAATTGAACAAACTCCTTTCCAATGTCCGAGTACATGAAAGGTGCTCAAAAATATGTGCATGTGTATAATTTCTTATAAAATAAAATAAATCTGTACATAACAGATTGAGAAGACTGGAAAACAGCATTTGGTGATCAGAAAGATAGTTCTTCTGTAAATGATTGAAAAAAGGGTAAGCAATTATATTGCTTGGAACTTGGAAGCAATTATCCTTTGTTTTCATTTTGAAAGGTTCTAGAAATAAACTCACTGTCAGTTGTTGAGGAAAAAATTTTGGACACTCTCCAAATACATTTCCAGTCACTATTTCAAGAGAAGATTTTTTCTTGCAGGATCTCCCAAACATTTTTTAAGAAATATGATTGAACTGGTTCTTGCCAGCTGTTTCCAAGAAAAAAAACGTTCTGGTTCTGTTGATGAGTTTCTTGCCAGCTCTGTCATTCATTTCCATAGTTATAAATAAATATGACGTTAAAAAATGGCCCTGTTGGAGAAGTTTGCAGAGAAACAGAATATACTTCAGATATTTCTAAAAAAATGCATTAAAAAACAATGTGCAGCTTTCTTAACTTTTTTCTTTCCACTAACTTTTACAAAAAGGAAATCCCAAAATTCCATCATGTGAGTTTGTGACTCAACTTCACGAAATATATTTATACGATGGGCTTCTGAACACTTTGCAGTTTGTAATTCAAAAGTTTCAGAGCTGATCAGATGACTAATTACTAAATATTCCATCTGCCTATTTTAATTTTAATTGACTCATTTCCCGTAGGTTGAATGTGTGTGAAGATAGTTCATATAATGGATCATATTTATGAAAATATACAGCTATGCTTGATGCTCATCTTGCAACTATATTACAGTATTTGAGTTGTTAGGGTTTTAATGTAGAATAAAAAAAATTCATCTTGAAGTACTGTATGTATATGCAGCATTATTCAGTTATTATTCAGGTCGAACTTCTTTAGTCAATTGCTTTGGAAGCGTTTATTAAAATTAAATGATAGTGGTTTTTGTTTCATAATGAATAAATACGTAAGATATATTACACTTAAGTTTCAATACTGTTCATTGCTTTTTCTACTAAAATTACAGCAAAATGATGCATGACGATAAACGAGTGATGGAAACGTGCGTTTCTAGCGAGAGTTAACTGCGTGCGACATCTAGGTACTACAAAAATAAGATGCGTAAATATATCAACAAGGATAATGACTAGGAAAATTCCTCGAGGCGTACGTCATTGAAGAAGTTCTGGACCCTTGCGAAAGTTTCATATATTTTAAATTCTTGAATAAATGTTGCAAAAAAAATATTTCTTTGCGCAATTCTTATGAGGAATTTTTTTGGCATTTTCCTCAGCGTTTATCTCACTCAATTGCCGAAAATTTACGTGCGTGGTTCTGTTGAAATCTACAGTTTTTCCTGAAATCCTGCGTAAGAATTCAAAAAAGTATGCTTCTCTGGAAGCTTTCATGCTCAGACAATTTCGGCTTCTCAGTCAATTCTGCCGTGTTCAAAATATAGAGGCATCTACAACCTTTTTTTTTAAAAATCAACTGAACGAATGAATGCTTTTGAAAAAAAAATCAGATTTCAGATTAGCCTTCATTTTCAACAGGTTGTGTCAGATTATCAGCCCAAGACAAAACTATGAACTTTGTGTTTTGCCACTGTGTTCAGTTGAATTTTCTTCATTGAATATTTGCCTACATCACAGACATATTTACGCAACATTAAATTATCAACCACATTTTATCATTTGGTCATTTATATTTCTTTCAAAAATTGGGCACAGCTAGACACAAACGATCAGCGACGACGCAAAAGTGTCAAATCTATACAGCAAGAAGACGAAGACTTTACAAACACAAAACTTCCGATCATTTTTGGAGGGACAAAACGAAATTAAATTTGTCTTCACGGACAAAAAAAAGGGAGACACAAAATCTCAATCTCAAAATTTTCTATAAAACCCGCGGTGCTGTTTTTTTTAAAATTTTTGAGCAAAAGGGATCATATCTGAAACTTTTTTCTAAACTCGAATTTGAAAACTATTTTTACTGCGAAGGACTTGCCCGAGATTTGACGAGAAATTCACTTGTGAAAACTTTCTGCCTCCGAGATTCTTGATTCTGGTTCTTCTAAAAACTGTATGGAGACTATTTCTGAAATTTTTGAATTGCAGGGTTGGCGAAAATTTCTGTAGTTTTTTTTTTACCAGAAAAGAATGAAACGTGTTTTTGAGTTGACTTCCAATTCAAAATTTTCAGAATTCTCCAGTTCATCCGCACAAAAATGCAATGAAAAATCTGTCAAGTCTGTACTCCGATGTTTGTCGATAAGTTTTCGAATTTTTTTGCTTAAAAAATATACGACCAATCCTTAAAAGAGGTATACATCAGGTTTTTTTTTTTCAAACTCAAAAGACACACAAGGAAAATCTAAAATCATGTATGCTCTTTTTTTTTACAATTTACCTAAAATCCGCATTTGTTCATCAAAATCTTTGGTCTCTTCCATTTCATATATTTCTCCCCTCTATTTTTGGTTAATCAAATCTTCGGGGAAAAATTGAAGTTCATTTTCTCCACAAAAACTATACAATCGAGGGAAGGAAAGCTTCACTTTTGGTTCACACAACAACAACAAAAAAACTCAAGAAAAAATGAACGAAAAACGCATCTTGTTTTTTTGTTTTCCTCATCTTGTTCTTCAAAGGCATTCGTCTTCGGCTCTTTGCAAATCGTCTATGTATTCGCCAACTATTGGTATGATCACGTCAAATGCCTTCTTCCATGATGCAACCACAAACTCTGGAGGATATTCCAATGTCTCAAACATGTTATTCTCCAAGTCCATCAGGGTCTCTGCAAACATGTCCGTTCCTTTCTGCAAAAAATATAGAATTGTTAATGCATATAACTATAACATGTTTTTGACCTCATATATGTGCTTTTCCCTCCGAAATGGTGTGTTTTTTGTTGTTGTTGTGTGATTGCTTGGATAAAGGTTGAATAAGAAATGACCCTCGCCTCGCCACACGTCCATATTATTGGGAATGCCTATCCGTGTTTCTTCATTATTATTTCAGATCAAGCAATTTCAAGGAATTGTTCGGATATTTTTGGACTTCCTGGAAAGACCAGAGGCTTCTATACAGTTGTTTCTGCGGAAATTTTCCCGGAAAAATTGCTACTGAGAAACGCAAGACGTAAAGGTTTCGGTCGAAATTTTTTTATTTAAAATTCTAATTCTGAATGAGGCATGTGGCGTACCTCTATAGTACACAGTAGGATAAAAATTTTGGATCCTCATCCCCGAGTTGGAACATCACAAAAACTCCGGAATTCAATTCATCAGTTGATCTCCAGACAAATAATTTAGGGTCTATTTCAATTTAAACACCCCTGGTTTGAAAAATGTTGGGTCAAACTCATACCTCCCTAAGTAGATGAGTTTTTGACGACTTTTTTTTATTAAATTGGGGATACTTTTTGGCAGACCTTTTCCAGAAAACCAAAAACAGGTACAAATTATTTACTGTATTTGTGCTATTCATAATTTGTCTAGTATGCGAGTCATTTTTTATTAATGAACTGTTCTACTAAAATGATACAATTTATCAACTTATACACAAATTAAGGAAAATTCCCTCACTGGAAAATTTTGAAACAATAAGTTGTTCTTCTCCGTGTTTTCAAATTCGACCCAGAGAGGTTCAACTGCATAAATATGTTTTTTCCGCTTAGAACAACATACATTGAAATCAATTAATTCTTAATTAATTTTTTTCAATTAATTAAGCAGTTCAGTTTTTTATTTTTATGATTGAGATGTTTTTTTCTATACTGAGAGTACATTTTTTTAGTTCTTCTTACGTGCAGGTCAGATGCCTTGAGTCCAAATGGATGATGCCTGGTTGCAATTTTGTACAACAGTTCATCCATGCATTCCAGGTCATCCACATTTTCCACCAATGTGCCCATGCCCTTCATGAAGGTGACAGCATGGGCTTGTAGTGCCTTGTTATTCGGCAAATCGTCCAATGTCACATGCCTGAATCTCGTGAAAGTCTGCGTATATGTAGGATTTTCCGAGAAAAACCTTTTGGAAGAAAAGAAAACATAAATCGAATCAAAATTTAGTGATGGATTGGAGAAAGAAACGTGTGTCGTCACTCGTCAGCCGCCGGCGTGAAGCGACACCTATTGTAAGTCACTGGAAATGAAGAAGCGCTTCTGTTGCAGAAGATGGACGAATTAAAAAAGAATTTTGCTGCAAGAAATCGCGTAATAACAAATTTCTCATGAACAACTCAAATTCAAGGTTTCAGGAGCAGAATATTTAAGTCTTTTTTATAAAGAATTTTTCTTTTTATGGCAGATTTTTTCCTTGTACTCTAATTATAGAATTGTGAAGATGTTTCACTATAACTTAATTCACGGTTGATCTCATTTTCAGTAAACTTCTCAGATTCACAGCTAAAGTGTATAATTTCTTTTTGAGAAATATAATGTTTTGACTAAAATCGTTCTGATTTCGAATTGAACAAGTTTTTATATCTAGTTCAGGGCAGAAGAGTTTAAAATCATGATTGCTGAATCGAAATTTTGATTTCAAAAGATTTTCCCTGCAACCAAAGCATGGGAAGCATCAACACACTCCTTTAAATCTAATTAAATAAATTATAGATCGAAACTCGGCTTTGTTTTTGCTGATGAATTGTTCTCCTCAATTTTGAGATGCAAAAAAATGAATATAGGTTGCATTTTTATTTGAATACGTTTCACTTGAACACTACCTCTTACGTTCAACATTTGAAAAGCAATCTTGAATTCTTGACGGGAAACTTGGTTCCAATTACCTCCTTTAAATATTTAAATTAAAAAAAAAAAAAATTGAATTTTATTTTCGTCGATAAATTGTTTTTTTTTCCATGTTGAGACGCACAAAAATTGACACACGCGGCTTTTTATAAATTGAATGCGGGTGAATAAATATAGGATGCATTTTTATTAATACGTTTCACTTGCAGTTGCTGAACATAACCTCTTACATTCAACATTCGAAAAGCAATCTTGACTTCTTGACAGACAACTTGGTTCTCAATATAGCTCCTTTAAATATTAAAAAAAATATTTAAATAAAATTGTATTTTATTATTGTCGATAAATTGTTTTTTTTCCATGTTGAGAGACACAAAAATTGATATACGTGGCTTTTTATATAAATTGAATACGGGTAAATTGAGCAATAGATGCACCTTATATATATTCCGCATTTGAGGATCAATCGTGACTACTTACTTGACAAAAAATTTGGTTCCAATCATCTTCTGATGCTTGTCCATCAATTTCCAGGACTCCCTAATGGCGTCCTTTTGTCTTGGGGTCAGCCCTGACGACGGATCCGGCACATCCTTTGTGTTGTTGTTGCCCATGACCTCCCCAAACAAAAGAGTTGAACAAAACGTTTTCCTGCTAACTTTTCAAAATCCACTTTTCTTTCCTGTGTAGAAGAAAAATATAATTTCTTCAATATTCTCTTCATGAGCTTTCAAACACCGCGACGAATTCATTTTCTCGCGCAATATCAGCTGCTAAGCTAACAGCAAAAAATGAAGAAAATATGAACTCCCCCAAATTTTGTTTCTCAATTTCTTGAAAATTCCTTCAAGAAAATACCGATTGGTAACGAACAATAACTCACTGAATTTTGTGAACAGAATCTGCCACAGACGCGAAAACTGTGATAGAATGATCGTTTATCTTTTGATAAAACATGTCTATATATAGCTGAAATTTCATTTTATTTTTGCAATCCACAGGTAATTTTATTCATTGTTCTTTGAATCGATGTTGAAAAAAGAACGAAAAATAAATTGTAAATAACCCGCAGCTTTGGAACTCGCGAGAATTCTTTCCGCCCACCCTTCTGAGCAGAATTTTGCGCAGTTTTCTTTTTGGTCAAGATATTTTCGCTGTGAATGACTGATTGATTGATGTATTAAAGCTTTATTTTCTGCTTGACAGTATTCAAAAAGTTCACAAAATTTCCCACGTCCTTCATAATTTTTTTTTCTTTTCACGTTCACATTTTTTTTTTAGATTGGCAAAAATCGCGCAACAAGGCTATTACTGTACTGAGCAGAAATTTAAGCACGAGGTGCTCAACCTGTTTGCAGATAATTTTTCATTTATTAAACAATAAAAAAATCTTTTAGGAGAAATCATAAAAATTTTTGATTGCTACGGCGAATGATGTATCATTACTTTGGCGATCATACGGGTTGTGTTTGATTGATTCCACTTGATCATGTCCTGGGGGCTCTCATGCAATCCAGAGACTATACACACAATAGTCCAAAGAGTGGCTTGAATATCATCAGAGCAATAAATGAAAATATGATGGAGATGTGTGCTCATCTTCTAATGGCCTGAGGCAGTCTTGTATATGAGTTGTTTGCCTTCTATTACTCCCACTATACTATATGATGAAAAGCGTGGCTGTCTGATTATATTCCACTCTCGTTACGCTTTTTCTTTGTGATGTTCTCCTCTGAGCTGTTTTTGTTGTTGTTGCCCAGCTTTCTGTTATTAGTTTCCCATTTCCAGCATGAACGAAGATTTGCTCTACTTATGCACGAGGGGCATTCCAAGGAAATATACTGTTTATTTACCCAAGTATACTCCGTGCATCGGTGGGACGATCTTGAAAAGAACAGTTTTTAAAGGGAAAAATCATTAAATTGGTGAAAGAAAAATACAGGAAAACTAAAGGTAAATATCATTAAAATGTATGAAAATTGAGCATTCAAACAAAAACCATCACACACAATTAAGCATTTTTTTTAAATGATCTGTGGACCCAAAAAAGTTTTTTTGAAGACATAAGCAAAGTGTATTTGAGTTCTTTAAGTCAAATTTCTGGGGACCAGGAAAAAAATTGACTTAGGGAGGTTATGAATTAGGGAGCTTCAAATTGTTGCAGGTTTTGAGTTAAGGAAACAAACATTTTTGGTGCAAAGAAAAATAGATAAGGAATTGTGGGAAATTATAGATGAGGATATTCTGGTTTTAAACTTGATTCTTAGCTGATCTTGGAGGCAGGGGTTCATTGGTTCAATTAGTCTTACACTCATTTCAATTTACACAAAATCATTTGTTTTATTGATTTTCTCTTTCATAATTCCAAGAAATAATAACCTGTTATCCAAAAACTATTTTACGAAAGTTGTTGGTCAACGATGATCAGTCGTTGATGACTCTT